GAGCTAAAGGTCTGTTTTAGGAAAGCACATCCCCAGCTATCAACGGTTGTAGGATTAAGTTGTAAAAGAGTTCATACACCACTAGTTGGCAGTGTTGTTTACATATTGTACATGAGTTACTGCCAGCTGCTAAGTGTCAAATTGAACTTGTGATTTAAAATTAGTTTCCACTAGTTTTTATATGACATAAGCACTTTTGAAGTTGCGGACCTAAATATTTACAGAAGTGCTTTAGACATTGTGGAGCTAATTTTTGGATTAGCGCTGCCCACCTCTGGTTTTTAGGTTGCGTTTGAACTCTGCCTTCTTTTAAAGATAACGTTTAGTGATTTATTTTTGTTATTTTATTTAACTGATGTTCTGTGTCACGTGTCGTTCTTATAAATTACACTATACATACATTTAAATGACTGTCTGTCTGAYGAGATTACCTGTCTGAATAAAAGTAAATAAGAAGTATTCCTTCATGAAGACTCAGTAGGTTTTACTGTGAGTCGGTCTTCATACCTCGAGCTTCAAGGCTGCTGCTCAGCCTGCGCTCTGCTGTGTCCAGCAGCTGACGGGACGTCTTCCAGAGCTGACAGTGACAACAAGCCAGGTCGAATGCAGCCATGGCTGCAGGGCTGAGCTCCTCCAGCAGAGTATACAGGAGGCCTGAAGCATCAGGAGGGCAGTGGCTCAGCCAGTAGGCCTCCTCTAAGGAGGGCATTGGATGAGGAGGGCTGCTGAGGAGGCGCTCTGCGATGTCTGAGATGGAATAGAAAGCCACTCCTGCAGGAGGGTTGGTTAGATAAGATAATTCAGCAAAAATGCTTTTATTTTCCTAACGAAAACTTTCAAAAAACCAAACAAAATGCTTTAATCTTAAACCATTAACACATAACTTTATAAATAACAGCAGCTCAGAGCTTTAGATGACATGAGACAGTAAAAGTAAGTAAAGTAAGTCAGTAAAGTAAGTCAGTAAAGTAAGTAAGTACATGACTAAATCCCCCAGGCTACACTCAGCTGCTCAAACAACACCAGTACATAGAAAATAACAGGTACTGAGACACTTTACACATTCAGTTAAGTAAAACTGTGTAATTAAAGGAGAAGCTGGAACTTGTTATTGGGTGTCTGACCTGCTGCAGCAGCGCTGCCGATGGCCTGCAGCGTTGACCGGCCACTGCTGCCCACACGAGTCCTCCCTGCACCCATCACAGCTGCTGAGCCCAGGCCCTCTGAGGAGGAAGAGGATGAACACACGGACTGGCTCTCCATCTTCTGCTCCACCTGAGCCAAGTCCAGTAGGACCTGTGTGTAGTGCTCCATGAAGACCAACTCTCCACAACATGCAGCTGTCTCCAAGTCAAAGACCACAGAGACCTGCAAAACATAACATTAACCTGAAGGGACACTTTCAGACCTCCTGCTGGGTGGAAGACGCTTTCATTAGTTACATTTAAGACCTATGATTCCCTGAAGGAACACATAGCATGTTGCTACCACGACACTAGCGCTCATCATCAGAGGAGACGTCGGCGTCTTTTATCG